GTTGGGTACATAGAAATTCATTACACTATTCTCCATGTTGGTGTACATTTGAAAAATTCTATGTTGGTAACCGCTGACGTTGGGTACATAGAAATTCATTACACTATTATCCATGTTGGTGTACATTTGAAAAATTCTATAACAAAAACAATTTATTTTTTAACTACAAAGGCAATCTGGAGCAGTACATATGTTGGAAATAACAGGGCTCAAAGCAACTAACCTCTGTCCTGAAGCAAGGGCAATGGGAGACTGTCCATTGGGGGGCCGAGGCTCCTCACACGTCTTCATCTCCACCTCTACCTTATCCAGACACTGGAATAAAAGCCATGCAGAGCTAAGCACGTGCACAAAACCACACAGCACATAAGACAGCAGACTTCGTGCTGATAATCACCCAAAAGTCAACAGAAACTGAACTCCTAACTTTCCCTGTCAGGATTCCAAGGGAAAACAGGGAAGTCTAAGGATAGAGCACAAGCAGCAAAAATTATTATTTTAAATAATAATAATAATAGCCAGGGGTGTTGGAACACACCTGTAATCCCAGCTGCTCAGGGAGATGAGGCAGGAAGATCAACACAGTAGGAAAACAAAAGGGCATCTGACACGCCCAAGATGGAAGAATTCCTTCCTGGCCTGAGCAACCTGTAAAAATTTGCCTCAAATAAAATTTAAAAAAAGGGCTGAGGACATAGCTTAGTGGCAGAGTGCCCCTAAGTTCAGACCCCAATACTGTGGGGGGCAGGTAATACCTCATGGGGCTTATGAGTCTCAATGCTGATTCTTACCCCGCCCAGCAGTTCCAGGATAAGCCAGGACAACAATCATCACTCTATCTCAGAGAGAAGCTCACAGGGCCATAAATAAGTACCTACCACTCCCAAAAGGGTCAGCCTATCAGGATTCTTCCTCATCTTCTCTCCTACCTTTTGAAAGTCTACCCTAGCCATCCCCATTTGATTACTCGCAATCAAGAAAGGCCATTACCAAGCAAATTGGGTGTGTCTTCAACTTTGTCCACTGGATCTGAAAGAGGAAAGCAAAAACTCAGGGATGTGGGAGCTGCCCTTGGAGAAGGCAGGCCTACTGGCCAAAGGCAGCAGCAGCACTCTGACCCCTGTTCTCACCCGGATGGAGGCCCTGTTGCAGTAGACCCGAGTGATGGCTAACCATGTGGGCAGTTCCAGCACATTCTGTAGAACCTCTTCATCCAGCTCCAAGTTGGTGAGCTGACCCTCCCCCTTCAGGGTACTCAAGTTGATTTTGTCCGGGGAAAGATTCTTAGTGAACCTGAAAAGAGTAATGACAAGAAGCTATTATATCCATGAGAATCTGCTAAATGAACATCATAATCACTAACATTTCTGAATTCAGAGTAAAGAGAAAGTTCAAGAACAAATATTGACTAATGACCACACTGTCTCTACACCACGTAAGATTTTAGGTGAGATCTATCATCCTGTCGTCCTATTCAATCCTACTGTGGGGACGCTGGGGAAATGCCTGTAGCAATGGCAAGCCACTATTTTGATATTTCTGAATCTCCACATAAAAATAGAACAACTAAACAGCAGCACAGAAGGGTCATGGTTGACATTTACAAGAAAACTAGAAGATAAAGTATCCTTATAAATCCTCATGTGCTACAGTTTGGTAAAAACACCAGCACTCATTTGACATGAGTGCTACATGCAGCTGTCAGACAAACAGAGGGAAGCCTGACAAGCCTGGGAACAGAGGAATTCCAAGATAGCCAACCAGTATTAAATGAAAATCAGAAAAACAAACTGGGAGGGGTTTTGTCTACCACAAAGGGTCTCCAGTAAGACTCTGGGACACTGCAGTCCTAGAAACTCATGAAATTAACCTTCCAAAGCTCCTTCCTAGGCAAGATTCCTATACAGAAAAGAATCAAGTTAGGGATAACAGAAATGCATGGCCCTAATCCCTACTCAGGAGGCTGAGGCAGGAAGATAGCAATTCTGAGGCTAGCCTGGGCAACTTAGTGAGACCTTGCCTCAAAAAAATAAAAAGAGACTGTAACTCCATGGTAGAATGACCCTGGGGGTCAATCTCCAGTACAAAAGAAAGAGGAGGTAAGAAGCAGGAAGGGGAGTGGAGGGAAGGGAATGGGGAGAAAAAGAAAAGGAAGAAGAGATAAGCCAAATAAAAGTAGAGACAGGAGAACAGAAGATCAGGATATCTCAGAAAGTGAACCATTGTTTTCTAATACTATCTGAAGCAACAGAAGAGGAAGTTCTATGCAGCACAAAATAGTAGCTGGCTAATAATGGGCTTATTAAGCAGGGTAAAATAAAATCCCTGATGCTTACATATACCATTACTGATGTGATCAAAGAACAAACTATCACCTGTAGTCTTCCCGAAGGGACTGATCCTGACTCTCATCAAGCCCCTGAGCCGAGGGGCTAATGTGAAGGAAATACAGAGGGCAGAGGAAAGCTGCTGAACTGTATGCACCCTAATAGTGCCATCGACATGACCGTGGTCTACATGGGAAACTATAGGTCAATTGCCTGGCCATGAATAACCCACAGTAAGTCTTCCCTCCTAACTTCTTCCCATTTTACTCCACGTGGACCATAAGAATGCTGATTTAACATCTTTATTTAGATGATCACAACAACTTTAAATATTTGTGGGGTTTGTTTTGTTTTGTTTTACAGTGTGGAGGATTAAATCCAGGGCAACATGCATACTAGGCAAGCACTCTACAATTTAGCCACATCCTCAGCCAAAAAAAATGTCATTTTTAGGGCTGGGGTTGTGGCTCAGTGGTGGCGTGCTTGCCTAGCATGCATGGGGCACTGGGTTTGATTCTCAGCACCACATACAAACAAACAAACAAATAAATAAATAAATAAACGTCCCTTAACAATAAAAAATATTTTTTAAAATGTCATTTTTATTTTCTATTTCACAAGTGGGAGAAAGCCTCCTCACCTGACCTGGACCAAACAGAACCAAACTGCTAATAATGATGACACCATACTTTGTACCAGGTACAAAAGGAAGGTTCTTTATTAACATTATCTCAATGAATCTTTACAATACCCCATATGAGGCAGAAATTATTATCCCCATTATACAAAGGAAGAGTATGAGGCTCAGCTGTGAATTTGCCCCAAGTGATAGGGCAGGAAGAGGTAATCACAATATGAACTCGGGACAGCTCACTGGCATTGGCTTCTACAAGCATCTGTTCTAACAGTATGAATACTCCCTTCCAAAACAAACCTGCCACAGAATAAATTTATAAGATGTTTCAGAAATGGTTGGAGGACATCTTTTCCCTTTTACAATCAACCATGGTCTGCTTAACCCATGTAAGAAGGATAAACCTCAAAAAAAAAAAAAATTTTTTTTTTTAGAGTCATAATGTAATGCTATCAAAAACCTTTCTGCACTTTACCAACCCAATCAAATTAATAAAATCTTTCCTAAGTACATCAGGGCTGACACCAAGTCTCTACCAAGATGCAAACAACAGACCACAGGGGGCTCCATGCCATCAAGTAGATGATAAATAACAAAAGCTAAGAGTGCTAAACCGCCAGGACTTTTCCAAGTCCACTCTAAGATGGCTCATAGTACATGTTTGTCTGTCGGACCACCATAGACTTGTTTTCCTGTTTAGTGACGTTATCCAGTCATGTGTCAGTTCTGAACAATGCATCATTAGGCAATTCTGTCATTGTGCCAACATCAGAGTGTACTTACACAAACCTAGATACTAGACCTCCACAGATGTGGTTGCTCAATGACCAAAATGTTGGTATGCAGCACTTGACTATATCTGCTTTTTAACTTACCAATTTATTTTTAGAATTCAATGAAAAATGGATACCACCTTATTAGTGTCTCAAAAAATTCTTCAGTTAAGAATTCCTGGGGAGGGCTGGGGATGTGGCTCAAGCGGTAGCGCGCTCGCCTGGCATGCGTGCGGCCAGGGTTCGATCCTCAGCACCACATACAAACAAAGATGTTGGGTCCGCCGAAAACTAAAAAATAAATATTAAAAAATTCTCTCTCTCTCTCTCTCTCTCTCTCTCTCTCTCTAAAAATAAAAATAAAAATAAAGAATTCCTGGGGAACTGAAGCTGTAGCTCAGTAGCAGAGCACTTGCCTAGCATGTGTAAGGCACTGGGTTTGATCCTTAGCACCACATAAAAATAAACAAACAAAGGCATTCTGTCCATCTACAACTACAAAAATATTTAAAAAAAAAAAAAGGAATTCCTAGCACCAAAATAGACATGTAAACAAATGGTACAGAATGGAGAACACAGAGACAAACCCACATAAATACAGTTATCTCATACCAGACAAAAGCACCAAAAACATACACTGGAGAAAAGAGAGCCTCTTCAACAAATGGTGCTGGGAGAACTGGAAATCCATATGCAGCAAAATGAGACTAAACCCCTGTCTCTCACCATGCACAAAACTTAACTCAAAGTGAATCAAGGACCTAGGAATTTGACCAGAGACCCTGTGCCTAATAGAGGAAAAAGTAGGCCCAAATCTTCATCACGTTGGATTAGGCCCCAACTTCTTTAACAAGACTCCTAAAGCACAAGAAATAAAATCAACAATTAATAAATAGGATGGATTCAAACTAAAAAGCTTCTTCTCAGCAAAAGAAGCAATCAATGAGGTGAAGAGAGAGCCTACATTTGGGGAGCAAATTTTTGCCACATGCACATCAGATAGAGCACCAATCTCCAGGATATATAAAGAACTCAAAAAACTTAACACCAAAAAAACTAACAACCCAATCAATAAATGGGCTACGAAGCTGAACAGACACTTCTCAGAAGAAGATATACACTCAATCAACAAATATATGAAAAAATGTACAACATATCTAGTATTTAGAAAAATGCAAATCAAAACAAAACTAAGATTTCATCTCACACCAGTCAGAATGGCAGTTATCAAGAATACAAACAAAGTGTTGGTGAGGATGTGGAGGAAAAAGCACACTCATACATTGCTGGGGGGACTGCAAATTGGTGCAACCACTCTGGAAAGCAGTTTGGCGATTCCTTAGAAAACTTGGAATGGAACCATTTGACCCAACTATCCCACTCCTTGGTCTATACTCAAAAGACTTTAAACTAGCATACTAAAGTGACACAGCCACATCAATATTTATAGCAGCTCTATTCACAATAGCTAAACTGTGGAACCAACCTAGACGCCCTTCAATAAGTGAATGGATAAAGAAACTGTGGTATATATATACAATGGAATATCACTCAGCATTAAAAAAGAATAAAATTATGGCATTTGAGCTGAGACACACCCCCAGCCCTGTTTTTTGTATTTTATTTAAAGACAGAGTCTCACTGAGTTGCTTAGGCGCCTTGCTTTTGTGAGGCTGACTTTGAACTCGTGATCCTCCTGCCCCAGCCTCCCAACCACTAGGATTACAGAAGCGCGCCACCTCACCCAGCTTAAGATATTGAATTCTTGAGAAGAATCATGGTCCCTGGCACAAACATTATTCAGCATTTATATTCCTAATCAAGGATGATATCAGTCGGTCCAAGGGTGGCTAAAAAGGCTAATGGCAGCCTGCTATTTATTCCACTTCAAGTATGTGGGAAAACATTTCCTGGCCATCTGTTACTGTTACGAAGTAAAGAAGCTAAGATGAAATCAAATTGGAAAAACAGATTTTGATCAAGTTTCATCTCTGCCAGAGGATTGCAATCTGCCAAAGAGACAACAGAGAAAGGCTCTCAGGCATACTTCCTAACATTGAGAATTTGCAGATTTTCAGAATTTCAGAGCTAGAAGGGATTTAAAATATTCATTTCTTCCAAATCTATAATTTGCAAATGAGGAAAACAAATGGTCAGGGTTAAATGGCTTGCCCAAGACTCATAGCCAGACAGCTGTAAACGTGGGACTCTAAATGACAGAAAAGGGACTTGACCCAGAATTCAATCAACTCTCTCACTATCCTGCCCCCATTAATTCATAACCTTCATTACTAATCATAGGGCAAATTAAAATAATCAGTCTCATAGAAATTGAACTCTCATAGAAAAAATTTAAAAAGGTCTGGGCATGGTGGCACATGTCTATAATCCCAGGCAATTCAGAGGCTGAAGCAGGAGGATCACAAGTTGGAGGCCAGCCTCAGCAACTTAGTGAGACTCTGACTTAAAATTAAAAACAGGGCTGGGAATATAGCCCAGAGGTAAAATACCTGTGAATTAAATCCATAACGCCACAAACAAAAAATAAAAAGGTCCACAAACCACTTTGCTTCCTTCAGTAACCTTTGTCCTGAGGTGATCACAGCCCAGGCCTTGATTTCTAAGTCAAGGAGGATAAGATTAAACTGCTTCTTAAGGAAATCTAGATCAAAGTATTTTTACTGTTCAGCCACAACATAAGCTGTCTTTAAGCAAAGACAAAACACAACTCTGAAGCATCTGGTTTAGACAGAAGGATCCCCTGCATCATCCAAACCAAACAAAATCACTAATGTCACTAACACTGCTCCATTCCCAAATAATGGGACAGAACATGCCACTCACTCTTGGTGCTTTG